CAGCTCTAGTCTAAATGAATCAGTTTCTCAGGAGAAGAAGAGGTCCAGAGATGGTCAGGAGCTGCCCAAGGCCACTGGGCAGGCACAGGCAAGAACAGAGGCCTTTTATGGCACTCGCTCTCTTGGCTTCTCATGTGCCACTCTAGCACTAAGTTGCTACTGGCCTTGCTGGTGGCTAAGGGGCATGCTTCTCCCCAGAGACAAGTCACCCTGGCAGTCAGCACAGAGGGTCCACTATGTCCCTCTTTGGGAGAAAGGGTCTTGCCCCTGCACTGAGCCCCCGAGCCCCTGCAGTGTCCCCACCTAAGTTTGTCATCAGTTTATATATATATACATATATATATATACACACACATATATAAACATAGTTGCAGTCATTTTGTTACTTTTTAAATTTAAAACACTAGAACTTTAAAAAAACTTCACAGCCAGCAGCCATCACCCATGGAACTCTGACTGGTCCTGGGACACCCCCCACCAAGTCATCACCATGTCTAGCATCTCTGGCCATACCTACTCCCTCAGTCATGGTCACCTCAGCCCACCCCCCATAGCCCCAAATCAAGCACAAACTGTCTTCTACTGCCTCCATTTTTTTTTTCTGGCCCTCACATGCTTGCACCCAGTCCCCTTACCTCTCATCTGCTCCCAAAAGCCTGGGTGGGAGTGTATGTAGGGGTCTAGCCTGTGCTGCAAAAGCTGTGGCTGGGCCTTGCTCTGAAGCCTTCACTGGGCTGACGATCAGCAAGGAAAGACAGGAGGGTGAATGGGCCCCCTCCTCAGGCCTGGCGCCCCACCCACCCAGCCGGAGGCCTGTCTGCCTTCCTGAGCTTATTAACTGCAGGTCACCGTTCAGCAGGAAAGACAAGGCGTGGGTTCTGCGGGCGTTCATTAGCCGTGAGAGGAACAGTGTGTGTGAAATTAGCAGTCACCTGAGGACCTCGATAATTTCATAATTAGGAGGCCTAATGGCTCCAGCTCTGGATGCCAAATGACTTAACCCCTCGCCTGCTGGGCCCCCAGACCAAGGCTGCAGGGGAGGGACCCCTCTGCTTCAGACCCCCTCCACAGGGCCAGCCAGGTTCATTTCTGCCACCCCAATGCCTGACACAAGGGCAGGCATGGAGAGGGGTGTGAAAGCAGTTTATGGAACTAACGAACGAACGAACGAATGAATGTATGAATGAATGAACAGGTGCCTGAATGAGGAAAGACTTCCAGCCCACAGTGCAGGTGCTCGGGGGAGGAATACTTTGAGAAGCGTGAGGAATGCTTCCATCTGCATCAGTGGGTGGCTGTGCACATGCCTGTGTGTGTGTGCATGCACGTGCAAGCAGGAGGGCGCATACACACATACGTGGATCTCTGTGTGTCTGTGTCCAATCTCCTGCCTGTGGACACACTCATTCTGTTACACCTGTCACTGTAACGGGGCCTCAAGAGTCTCCACCGATGTCAGCCTCTCACAGCAAACATTGCCCCCAGAATAATGGTGGTTTCAGAATTTCTATGTGGCGAGCTTAGGGGTGCACGGTGTGTGGAAGAAGGAGTCAGAGTGAGTGTTGCCTTGAAGCTGTGTTCCCACAGTAAGGCCACTGGTTTGGGTTAGATGGAACATTTGTGCTTGGGGGAGACTAGTGCGGATGGGGTGGGGGTGAAGTCACAGCCGTTAGCAAGGGGGTGGTACTGACTAGGACAGCTTCCAGAGGCCCCCTGTCCCTGCACAGCTCAGCCCCCCCATCCCCTATTCCTGCCCAGTGGTGCTCAAGAAGAGTGGCAGAGTGAGGGGTGGGGTCCACGGGGCTCCAGGCCTTCCCAGTCTGGGACAATCAGCTGTGATCCCGCCTCCCCACATTGCCTCATTCCCCTAATAGTAAGAGAGAGAGGAAGTGGGGAGGATTGAATGGGGAAAGGGGGAAGGGGGAAGGGGAGGTGTGTGGAGAACAATAAAGGAACAGAGAGGAAGAGGGGAGGGGAAGGAGGTGAGAGAAGACGGGCAGGGAGGCAGGAGCTGAGAGCATTATCTGCACTTAAAAAGCGAGAGGCTCAGTTCTTCTTTGGCACAAATGATGGCTTTTTATGAATAAATCATGTGTCAGACGCCTCCCAGGGAGTGGGCACGGAGGGGGGCGCGTCTGCTGGGCTCCGAGGCTGGCGGGGAAGGGCCAGTTGCAGACCCCCAGCTGCAGGGGTGTTGCCCCTTTCTCCCGGCGGGGCCCAGCAGGACAGAAGCTGTGTCTGGAATTAGTGCTGGCCCAGGCCTATCAGTGCCCAATCATCACTCTGAGGTGGTCTCCTGGCTCCCTGCTCAGGAGCTGAACTGGATCCCAGGGACGGCAGTGTCGCTCTGCTCCCCTCGCCGCCTCGTCTTCTTCCCCCAGAGACGGCGTGGCCTCACAGAGCAGCTCCTGGCAGGGGAACACCAGCACGGTGCTTTGAGAAAAAGAGAGGAAGAGAGAGGGAGAGCTGTGCCAAGACAAGCAGGCACACCCAGGGAGTGCACATGTGGGCTCAGCCCCCACAACCGCACACACAGATGGGCACACTCGGGGATGGCTACATCATCATCCCCACCACACACACACTTAACCATGTGCATACACAGGGAGAGCTGCCCTGCCAGTGTGCTCGTGCGCACACACACACACACACACACACACAGGCATAGGGAATTACACGGACACATGCAGGCCTACACATGCACACCAGCAGCCCACCCTCCATCAGCCTAGGGGGGGGGCAGCCCTGCAGCCCAGATGGAGCCCAGACGCAGCTGGGCTGTCTCTGAGCCTGCCTGTGGGGTGGGGCTGAGACATCTGTCCCAGGGGAGGGCCTGTCAGCCTCTATGTGCACCCCACCCAGCAGGGACACCTGCCACACCATCCCAGGCAGGGTTCAGTTCCCCACTCAGAGCCCAGAACCTGGGTAGATACTGCCAGCTCTGAGTAAGCACCCAGACCGGAGGCAACCCTCTTTGGATACTCCCTGAACTCCATGCCCGCAAGCAAAACATATAGCGGAGTGGCAGGGCGGAGCGTGTAGGGGAACCAGGGCAGAGGAAGCACAGGGCCAGGGCCAGGACTTTTGGCTTCACTCCTTGCTAGCCTGAGACCTCAGGGTGACTTGCTTCCCTAAACTGAGCTATGAGTTGGTTGCTTTCAGACCAACAGGGCAAGGAGAGAGGGACTTCGGGAAGGGAAGCACTTCGGGCCTCCCTTCCTGGAACTCAGCTTTTTTCAAACTCAAGGACCCCACAGTGTATTGATTTTCCTTTTCTTTCCCCACCCTGTTGCCTCTTCTCAGCCAGCAGGGTCCCTGTCCTGCACCAAGGTATTAATCAGAGTAGATAAATTCTTCCCACTTCGTAAACCCCAGCCCCTCATCTCGAATCCAGGAGACCCCCAACACCTCCAGGCAACCTCTGGGGCCTGAGTAGCTGACCTCTCTCTCCAGCCCAGAGACCTCCCTGGGCTCTGATGCCTTGGCTAGCCAGTTGGGCATCTCCAGGCCACCATGTTGCCCAATGCCAGGGATACCAACCATGCAGGATACAGGCTTCTTTCAATCCCCCAAACCTCCTTAACTACAACTGAAATGGGGCCTCTCGCAGGCTGAGCCCCACATTCCACCAAGGTTACTCCTGCCTCAATGCTTCCCATCTCAGGCAATGGCCCCCTCTGCTCAGGAACCTGCCTTGCCACCCCCACCCCACTGAACCCTACCACCCTCCTCTCTCCCCAGGTTGGAGCTCCTATCAGCACCTGTGGCCTGGCTGCAGTCACTCTCTCTACTGCCCCCCACCACTTGTATCATTGCCATCAGGAATCTTGCTACTGCTTCTGGGTCTGGAATCTACCTGTAGCTCCCTCTCTCTGAGCCCCTCTCTCTCCTTACGCCCACTTGTTCTGCAAGGGACTGACAGCACTACCATCCAATCACCAACACCGATTCCTCCACCTGAGACGAGTGTTGCCCATCCTGCATCCTACCACAGCCCCCAGGTGCTCCATTCATCACAGCCCTTATAATCACCTGTGTACTCCTCCACCAGCCCTCTCAGGCCCAGAACCAAAAGCTGCTCACTTCTCTTATTACCCCCTCCCACCTTCCCAAGATAACTGACCTGACTTGGTATTCTCTTCTGTACAATGGGGGACAGAACTAGTGCCTAGAACAGGACCTGAGACATCTAACAGATTCAATGGAAATACTGTGCCCCTCTTCCGATTTTTGAGGCTAATTCTCAACAGAATTTTTCCAGGCCAGGAGCGTTCCCCAAGCACCTGGCCACAGAAGCAGGTGCATCAATTCAGGCACTCAGTAAGCGTTTAGTCCATGTGTACCCAGGAGAGCAGCATCAGTGAAGACAGCAGCAGCTCAGCCACAGGGTCCCCCTCCTCCACCCCCACATTTCGGTTTATTCCCTTCCCCCTCCCCGCTGCTGGCCCAAAGTGAGGGAAATATTTAAAACAATTTTATTCATGAAAATATGCTGTACAGTGCACTCTACACGGCCTGGACACGGCACACACGCACACGCACACGCTGACGGCACGGCCACGGTACACTGCCTACGATATGCGCCGGGGCACCGCGCCCATCGCCCGCCCCGACTGCACACTTTATAAATACGGGAGAGGGGCCCGGGACTGGCGCGGAGGAGGGGGCGTCGGGCTGGGGTGGATCCGGAGCAGAGACCCCCTGGAGAGACTGAGACCAGTACTGGGAGAGGGTGGAGGGGCCCGGCTAGGACTGGAGGAAGCTGAGATGAGGGATAGGGGGTGGTCAGAGGACAGGTGAGGGCTGTAGGAGGACAGCCCCCAGGGAGCTGCGAGCTAGTTATCTTGGGCAGGAGCTGCCAAGCCTTCAGTGGGTGGGGCTAAGAGTGACGGATACATGGTGCAGCTCCCCATCGGAATCCCAATTGGCTTCCCAAACATCATCCAGGTGGTGATCCCCACGCTCCTGCCCAGGGCATCCAGCTTCCAATCCCTCCTCCTCAGCCAGGCTCACCTCCCCCAGAAGGAGGCCAGCAGATCTCAGGGGTGTGGGCACACAGTGGGGTGCTCCCTCCCTTCCACCTTCCCCAGAGGCCAACTTTTGAGGAGTGTCTCCCTCGGGGCGGGAGCTCACTCTCACGTGTTCCTTGGAGCTGGATCGGGCTTTGGGAGGGTGGGGTAGGGACCCGGGAATCAAGACAGGAAGACCCTTGGAAATGGGACGGGGGCACTAGGGGCGTGGGTGCCTCAGCCAGGCACCCAACTCTGGTTGGGCGGTGGGGCACCCGCCAGGCCAGGCGGTGGTGGGGGCAGGGCCGAGTCGAAGTTAAAATCCATCTCGTCGCTGTCCATGAAGTCATTGAGGATGATGGACTCAACGTCACACTCGAGGCTCCCGCTGAACATGTCGAGGTCCAGGTCGGCCGGGAAACGGTCGGGCGCCGCGCCCAGCGGCCCGGCAGCAGCTGCTGCATACGGCCCCGGGAGCGTGTCCAAGAGGAGGCCGCCTGGTGGACCTCCGAAGGCGGCGGCGTGGCCGGGCGGTGCAAGACCCGCGGTGCCCGCCTCGCCGGGCAGCGTCATAAGGCTGATGGGGTGGGCTAAGGCACTGCGCGAGGGCGCGGGAGGCGCATAAGGGGCGGCCCCCTTGCCGGGATAGGCGGCGGCCGTGCCCGCCAGAGCCAGCTCCCCCGGCGCGCCTAGCACCGGGCCGGGCCTGGGCGTGGGCGGCGGCGGCGGCGGCAGCAGCGCGGGCAGCGCCCCTGGGCGGTAGGGCACGGAGGCCGGCGTGAAGCTGGCCTGCTTGTTCTCCTGGATGGTCTGCATGGGCAGGCGGCGAAGCGCGCCCAGAGGCGGCGGTCCGAAGCCTCCACCCCCGCCGTAAGCAGCGCCCTTGCAGCCGCCGAAGTAAGCCGGGGTCCCTGCGCGGGCCCGCGGCCCGTACACGTCCTGCGCGCCGTCGAGCAAGGGCTCGGGCATGCCGGCGCCGCCACCGCTGCTGTGCAGGCCCAGCGGGCCTCCCAGCTCAGCCAGGCGGGGCAGCTCCCCTGGGCAGCGCGCGCCCAGGGCCGGCGACAGCGCGCTCGCGGGGCTCGGGTACATGAGCGGTGAGGACGGCGCCAGGGCCTCCAGGGCCTCGTCGTCTTCCAGCTCGGCTGCCTCCGCGAGTAGGGGTCTCCCGCCGCCGCCGCGATACTCAGCCCAGGCCTCGTAGTCGTCGCTGGCATGTGAGGCCGGGCTGGCGGCCCACTTGGCCGCCACAGGCACTGGCCCTGGGGCAGGCACGCCCGGTGGGCTGGCGTCCGGGCTCCGCTCGGGTGCCTGCAGCTGCTTCTTCTTGCTCGCCTTGCCCTTGATGCGCAGGAACTTGGCTCCGTTGTCCATGGACACAGCTCTGCGCCGTGGGGTCTTCCCTGTCTTCCCGCCCTCTGGGTTCAGCATCCACCAGGAGCTCTTGCCAGTACCCTCATTCTGCACGCGGATGAAACGGGTGTGCAGCGACAGGTTGTGCCGGATGGAGTTCTGTGGTGACAGAGAGGGGCAGGGAGCCAGCGGTTAGGAGCAGAGAAGGGAGAAAAGGCAGAGGGGAGGGAGGACAAGGGGGAAACGGAAGGGCACATGGAGGGGGTGAGACAAAGGGGAAGGAGTAAGTAACAGGCTGGACGGAGCCGCAACCTCTCTCCTTGCCCCCTAAAACCTCACCCCAACCCCAGCCGAACCTGCCAGGAGGGTGGCTCTGGAGACCGGGCCACCCCCTCTTCCAGGGTTACTCTGAGCCGACAGGGCCTGCGGGAGAGGAAAAGGACCCCCTCTCCCCAACTCAGCCAAGCCCCACGTGGGGCTGCCTGGCTGCCAGGGCCCCCAGCAGATTATGTAAGGGCTCATGCCGCTGCGGCTCATTTGGCGGCCCCCTCCCTCCCCAGCCTGGCATGGCGCCAGGAGCCCGAAAACCCAGGGCTCCAGAAATCAATCTCGCGGTGACTGATTAAGCCCTGTTTAGAACTAATTGCTCTTTCGTGTGTGGGGAGAATAAATTACCTGCTTTAATTTCGTGTCTTTAAAATGCAACTGCAGGTAGAGAAGACGGTTAACCCTTTGCTGGGAGGGCTTGGCCAGGGAAAGCAGAATAGGGTGAGGGTCCCCAAGGGTACATATGGGCCAGAGATGTCTTCCCAACCCCCTGCTGACTCCCCTGCGCATCTGCGAATGCCACAGAGGCCTCAGATCCCAGCAGGCCACTCACAGGACAATTTCTGGCCAAGGACACTTCAGTCCTACCCAGAGCACGGCTGCAGGTAGCTCCCACTTCTAGGCTGCAGTCACGTCTCTCTTTTCCTAAACCCCCGCACAACACTGCCCTCCAGGTGCCACAAAGTAGGCAGCAGATGTGGGCTCAGAGAGGTGAAGGGGCTTGCTCAAAGCCACACAGCACTGCTCTCTCTGCTCAGCACCCCCACGTCCACGCTGCACTGGTCCCCTCTGCCAGTCTCCTGTGCTCCCCAGTGCCACTGCCTGCATTGATCAGACCTGAAGCAACGGAGGCAGGCAGGGACACACAGCTCCACTGATCTGGCTCCCCACAGGGACCTCTACTCTGGGCCAGCCACGCCCCACCTCTGGGGCCTCCCACCTGGCAGCCTCCACCTGCTGCTCACGCACTGCTGTGGAAACAGCCCAGAGGGCTGAGCAGGGTACCCGGCTTTGTGAGCACCTAACTGGGTGCCCATAGGCTGTGCATGTGTTTCCATGGCAAGGCCTTGGTGAGTGATACAGACAAGTATGGCAGCTGCCTCGCAAGCCCAACAGGTTAGATCATCACAAAAGCGCATGAGTGGTGAACATGCCAGGTGCTCATAACACCCCCTCTGTGGACGCCACCTTCCAGGTCACCCAGCAACTCTGCTCCATCTCCATTTTTTGAATGTCATGTCCCAAGTGTGGTTGTGCTCACAGCTCTGGGAAGCTGGTATTGCCCGACTTCTCTACCAGGGGACAGAAGCTCACGGGCATGATGTAACATGCCCACAGTCCCAAAGCTAGGCAGTGATGCCAGGTATACCACAGCTCTGCCCAGCTCCCCAGTCTGATTCCAACCTAGTCATCTGCCCAGCCACATGCTCCGGGAGGGGCTCTTTTCCCCCCAATCTCAAGAAGAGCAGTCTTTCCTGCTGCCCAGGGCCTTCTTTTTCTCATCTCCAGCTCCAAGGCAGGCCCTGGTCTCTTGTACTTCTTAGCCTTCTCTGAGAGGCGACAGCTGGCGCTTGCCAGCCTGGCCCTGCCTACCTTCTCCTGGGACCCTGGGAGGAGAGCTAGTCCTCAAGGGATCACCAATCCCCCAGGTCCTAACCTCTTCCCAGTTCCCGCCCCTGCACCTGGCGCCTTGGCCCCTCCCCCACACCTGTGTTCAGGGTCCGTGGAGGCCTCCATTTTCCTCCCCAGGACTGTCTGGTTTCTCAGAAGTTCCATCTCCCCTGACCCTATTCTCCCGGTGTAACACCTCTTAAGTAGTATCACTGCCTAGTATCTTAGATCTGAGTGCAAGAAAATGGGGTTGGGGGAGGTGGGGGAACAGCTCCAGGTCCCAGCCCCTTAGCAGTACTAGTCTTCAACCCTGGGCATGCCAGGGCTTCAGGGCACATCATCTTTCTGGCCAACTCCAGAGAAGTCAGGAACTGTGACCCCATCTCAGGGATGGGACGTGGAGTTGCCACTTGACTTGCTAGGCCCCGAGCCACATGTGCATTGCAGGTAGAGCTGCCTCTGATTCCACAGATATGACATTCTACCATGGGAGAGGGAAACAGGCCAGAGAATTCCTGAAGAATCTTCAGAAGCCACACCTCCAGTGCTCCTCCAACATCCCATGTAAACTATTGCTAGGTGCCGGCTAGTTCAAGCCCCAGCCTAAAATCATAGGACTAGCCTAAGGTCACCCCGGCCTGGTGGCTGAGCAAGTGACATTAGTTCAGGGCTCCTGGTTCTAGCCTAGTGCTCTCTCCACTCTATCAAACTTGACCCCAGAGCAAAGCCTATGTCTCTTCTGGGCCTCAGCTTCCCCACCTGTATACCGATAAGCTGAGCCAGTTGTATAATGAGAACCTTTTCAATTTGAGACTGAAAAAATTCCAGAAGTATCCAGTCCAGATGAGATAGAACTCTGTAAAAGCAATCTAACACAAAATTTAAGTGGTACACATTCAAGCCATTGGGGCGGAAGTGGGAGGATCTGGAACTCTGCCTACTTGGCACCCTCACAGAAAATAAGGCCTGTGGGGAGGCCAGTGCCACACAAGGAGGGGGCTCAGAGCTGGGTGAGGACATACAGCCTGACTGCTACACTCATTTCTGTGCCAAGGCCATGCCCCAAGAGAGAAGTGCAGGCCCCACAGCTCACAACCAATCAGAGCTCCCCACCAAGTAGCAAGTGCTGATCACCACTCTGGCTCACCTGCAAGGCCTCCTGGGAGGCTATAGGCCATAGAGAAGGTGAGGCAGGCGGAGGAGGAAGATGCCTCTGCCAGGCAGCAGTAACCAGGGCTTGCTCTTGGAGTCGCCTAGCAACATACTACACAGTCTTGGCCCTGGCATGCCCAGGCTCCCCTGGTGCCCAGAGCTGGGCCCAGCATCTGGAACCTCAAGCCTCCCACATCTCCACCAGGCCTGGAGCGTATTCCTAGGGAAGATGAGACCTCCCTGATTCAGGGCCCCAGGGAGGCCATCTGGGGGGCTGAGGGGAAAGGTCCCATGCCCACCCATTCCATCAGCTCGTGAGGCAGGAGAGCAGCCCCATCACACCGCCTCCCAAAGGGCATGGGTCTGAGTGTTGGATCTGTATCCCCATTTCAGCTTCTCTTCAACAAGACCTTCCCTGCTCCCACCCCTCCCTCCTGTTCCTCCAACCTTCCAGGCAATGTTCCGCTTGTCCCCAGCCACCCACAGGGCCATCTCTTCCCCTTCAAGTCTCAAGTGTCACCTCTTGCAACAAGACCTCTGTCAGCCATGCCTCAAAAAACTACTTTTCCTCCCAGCCATTTTTAGGCCCCCTTCACCTTACTCCCCATTTTTTTCTAAAGCAATAGTCACTTTGTAAATCAAAATGACATATGCATCCTTTAATTATTTATTATCGGGCCACCTTGCGTTATGGGAGTGTAAGTCTCATGAGGGCAGTGATACAGGTCTATTTTTCCTTTTACTGTACGTCACACGTTGGGTGCATACTTCAGGGTGTGATTGATGGATGAACGAATGACACAAGCGACTAGCACACAGGAGAGCTGAATCAAGAGAATACAGGTCAGGATGGGAAACAAGAAGGTGGTGGCAGTGGCCAAGTCAGGAGCAGTGCCACGCCTGGAAGGGACAGGCAGAGGGCAGGACTTCCCTGAGATCACGGTGAGGAAGGGCTCAGCCCCCACCCTGCACCCCAGGAACCCAGGAGCTTGCTCACACACAGCCCGTGTCACCTGGCTGGACTGGAGGACCCTGCCAGCACCCTCCCTCCCCATCCCCAGAGCAAAATCCCCTCCCTCGTGGCTGGGGGCCTGATCCACGCAGTGGCGGCAGCTCATCCATCCTGTGGGACACCCTCATCCATTCCCAGGACACCCTTCGCCCGCAAGCAGTAATGCATTCGGCTGACAGCACAGCCCCATCCATCCAACACACCCGGCCCATTTATCCCACCCGTACAACCTTGTCTGCTAACAGCACTCCGTTCACCTGTCGGGCCCCTTCATTTCTCCAGAGGGACACTCTCATTCATCCTCTAGCTGGGACTCTCTCCCTCTCTGCCACAGTGTGCTGCTGTGCCACCCGACTGGCCGGGCAGGACGTCTGCTCCCCTGAAAGTACACTTCATCCCCTGCCAGTGCGACCTCATTTATCTACAATGCCGCCAAGTACCACCTCCATCCCCGGCTGTACAACCTCGTTCATCTTCCAGTACCACCTCATTTCTCCTCCTAGCACAGCTTCATTCGCTGATAGTGCAACCTCATCCAATCTTACTTCTCTAACCAGGGCTTGCCAGCTCACAGAGGAACTGGTGAGAAGGAGGAACCCGCCCTTTGCTGCCTGCTGCCCACAGAGGGGCTGACTGATGCTCCATCCCTTCTCCCCAGGCCCCAGGAGGGTAATGTCTTGGAGTTCTAGGTTGCCTGGTCTTAGCCAGAGTCCCACTCTTTTCCCATCTCCCACCTATCTCCACCAGGGCTAAGGAGGGCCCATGGGATGCATTCTGAGGTGTGGGCTCTGTGAACCCCCCCACAACCACGGTGAGGGAAAGTAACCCTTTCTGGGGCCCCTTCAGTGTTGTGGTCAACGTTTAACCACCAGCTCTCCTGAATGAAAATCCAGTGGACTCCATGCTTAGCTCTTGCTGGCTTACATAGTAGGGATACCCACTCCCCTGCCGCCTCCAGCTCTGCCTACCACAGCAAGGTCAATAGGAAATTTCCCTGGCAGGTCCTCACCGCATGACGAACTGGGAAGATGGGCATGCGTAATCAACTCTCATGAGC